CCGAAATATCTATCGCCCTCCTTGCTCACACTTCCGATGCCGACCCCTCTCTCTTGTGCTCTCCCTTCGTATCCTTCGGGCCACATGGATGAATGAATATATGAGAGATAGATAGTGAATGAAAGGCGAACGGATGGATGAACATATATATCGGACTGACTGACAGACTTGATTGGCTGAATGTAGTGGTAAGGTGAGGGGGGGGATGGGGGTTGGAAGGGGGGAATCGAAGGGAATCCATTCAGGGGGCCCCAAGTTGTGTTGAACTGGGTGGTGGTGTCTCAGCTTTATCCTGTGGCTGCTCTGACATTGTGGAAAACAATATTTGGATGGCTTCATCCAACTGGTCTGTCGGTTTCATGGATGAGACAACCCGTCACCATCCATCCACATCTCAAAAATTTCCTCTTCAAAACTCACAGGGAGTTGTTCACACACATTCTCTCCAACGTTTTCACACATTCACTCTCCCCCCCCCCCCCCCTTCTCTCCTTCTTGTTCTTTTTTTTTAGTGTCACCCACAAATCCATAGCCAATAAACTACAAAGGTTATTCCAGTGAAGTTCTGAAACACATGCACATGACCATTGGTTTTTGGTAACTCACTTGTAAGTGCAGCATGGGACTGCAAGGGGTAAAAAGTATTGAGTTGCCTGAGGATGGCCATGTGCCACAGATATATAGGAAAAAGACTAGGGTGATGCTTCACTAAAAGAAAAGTAGCTAGAGGAGAAAGTAGAGCTCAACTGGGAAGCATCTAGAAGCACCACCCACCATAGCCAAGTCTCTCTCACTCACTCACTCATTCATTAATTCATAGAATAGAGTTGACTTAACATACACATACATTGCTTGTTCTCATGCCAACATGGCACTTGTTGCTTTGTCATCCCTGCCCAGAGTCTAAAGGAAATTAAATATATCAGCAATACTACAACAAGGCTCAAAGGTGAAGGCTTTTTTGTCTGGATTGGGGGGGTAGCGCAGCTTCGACGCATCTTCCAGTTGCGGTGCAAAAAGTCAAAACTAAAGCTGCATTCCTTTTTATAGAGCACAAAGGGAGAGGGGAGAAGACCATGCAAAATGGTGGATGGATGAATTATTGCATGTATGTATGGATGGAACCCAAAACGAGTTCCCCTTAATATCTTGCATGACAAAAGTGAACTAGCACTTTTTTCTTTTTCTTTTTCTTTTTCAGTTTGTAGCTTCTAGTATCATCAATTGGTGTCCACAGTTTGGGCCATGCCTTGACTTCTCAAAAGATTGGTTTGCTTTGCTTTGCTTGTACTGTCAATTTATTTGTGGCTTTAGAAAGGTTTACCTATTTGTTTGTGTATGTGGGTTTTTAGCCACAACGAAGATCAATTCTTGGCAAAGATCCATAATGTGTGGAATTAAGCAATTAAAATTTTTTTTGTTGATATTTTTCAAATTTGGGCAGTTTAGGATCACTTTATTGCATTTGTTTTTTGATTTTTGTTTTGTTTTGTTTTGTTTTGTTTGTTTGTTTGTTTGTTTGTTTGTTTGTTTTTTTTTTTTGTTTTTTTGTTTTGGAATGCTGGCTTTAAGTGATGTAATTCATTATTTGGAAATCTGTTGTAATGGTATTTATACTATAATCTTACTCAAAATGTATAACCCAAATGGATTTTTGTTGATGATATGTGAAATGAATGTATGTAGATTCAATTACATTAGGTCAAAGTTGATCATTGGTTTCTATGTTCTCCAAACTCTAGAAAATTTAGACATTTTTTCAAATCTAGTTTGATTCCACTATACAAGGTGCACTTGGAATTGATTATATGCCAAGATGAATCTCTTTCTTCTAATTTCTGCATTGAAGGATAATAGACAAGGCTTGAAAGAAATTTTGTACTCAAATTATGCAAACAAATTGTGTGGTTTGGCACATCAAAATTTTGGATAGAGAACCTTTTATAGGCCATGTTTTTCTTCATTTTCATTATTCTACAATTCAAATGTTAAGTTACAAACTGCTGAGCTAAACTGACTTTTCAACAAGAATATATATATATATATATATATATACACACACACACACATATATATATATATATATATATATATAAGAAAAATAAAAAACCCTGAAATTTATCTCATTTTAAGAAAAACTCATTCTAAATTTTAAAGACATTTCAGATGGTTCCATGCCATGAAATCTACCCTCCATTTTGAAATGCAAACTGCAACCTTGCTATGCAAAGGTTTGAACAACCAACCCCATCACTAGTCTACAACAACCCAAAATCCAACAAAGAAAAGTTGATAACATGACAAAAAAAAATCAACAACAACAATAGCAACAGCAGAGCATAACAATAATAATAAGAATAATCAACCTTTTAGGGTTCTATGGATAAAGCTGGATTACATTGTCGACCCACTGCATGATGGGTGTGTGGGCACAAATCCAAATTTTCCATCACAACTACCCATATCTCCCAATTGGGTTATATATATATATATATATGTTTGTTTCATTGAATAGGATGATGTAACTTTGAAGCAGTGGTGAGAGGTCCAGCTAGGGTGTTTTTGTGCAACAGCAAGAGGAAAGCAAAGCAAAGCAAAGCTATGAATATGAAGGAGTAAGAGAATATTCGTATTATTATTATTATTATTGTTATGATGCTTTGAAGTGTTCCCCCCCCCCCAGACCCATGTCACCCTCTGAAACCATCCTTTGGTGGACCATGGCTGCTGAAGGGTTCTCACTCACTTAGACATTCATCCATTTATTATTCATCCATCAATATCATTGGCTGGGCAGTTTATTCATTAATTCTATTATTAATTTATATTTTAGGCATCTACATTTGTTTTTATTTTTTATTTTAATGTTTAAGTCAAATATTAGTGTTTATAGTGCATTAATAAAATAATTTGTATCAAAATAATAATTAAAAATGTGTTTATATATATATATATATATATATACATAATCCTAGATTATTCTATAATATTTATATAGACAATGACTAGAATCTAAAATAAAATATGAAAATTTGTACTTGTAATGAAAAAAAAATTATATTGTGTTTTTAAATTAATTTAGTAGTTGTTGAAATGTTGACTAATTTAATTTTTATTTTTTTCATCTTTGTATGATTTGATGTTTTAGCTATTTCAAACATTCAAATAGTTAACATAAGGTCTTCTCTACCATTAATAGAATATATATTATTTGATAAATAAAATATAGTAAAAATTGTCTTACTTCTATAGAATTTTTTTAATATCATTTATTTAATATTATTAATTAAAAAATATATTTTTATAATTTTTCCTTTATATCTTCATGAAGGCTTTTAAAAATACATGAGATATAAATTGTAAAATATTATAATAAATATTAAACTTTATGATTTGAAGATATTTCTTCTTTTTTAATATATCAGCCATGTAAACTGATTATATTTAAAATTTAAAATTATTCATTAGAATTTAAATCGTGATTTAGCAAACCTTATAATTTCAGTGACATTTAAATTTTTCTAGTCTTCTTTGGATTTGAACTTTTATTACGAATAATTTATACTTAATTTCATTAACTTACACATCTATAAGATCTTATTTTATTGCATTCAACTTCATTTGGATGTAATTCTATTTTGATGCTTACAACATGAGTTTGATGAGGAAATTTAATACTAATTTTGGTATATCAAAAATTCTAAGAATGATCATTTGATACCAGTACTTACATGTACCATACATGTGTCATCAGTAATAAAATTAAGATTTTTATTCTTTAAAACACATGGATTGCTCAAACTGTTAAAATCTATTAATATAAATACAACGATATTTATAAATTAGAATATACATACTTTTTTCCTCTAATGAACATCTGACTTCTTTAAAAAGCCTATTTCAAGTATATAGTAGTTATTTTGCAATGTTTAAATGAAAACATTAAAAAATACTATGAGCACATGGTTCTTAAGTAAAATTCTAATCATTACCAAAAGCTAACACAAATCAAATCTATAAATGGTTATTAAAATTTAGGGGGTTTTAATGTCTAGAAGTGAACTTAGAAAAACTATGGTGCAAAAGTCTTACCAATGTCTCTTGCTTAGTGAAAAAAAATTCTCTTTTAGAAATCTTGGTTTTTGGAGATAGTACAAAATAAGGAGATGGTATAAAATGGACTTAAATATTCTTTTATTATAATCTAAACATATCAATTTATACCTTAATTTTAATATTAAAAATAAACATTAAAAAAAGTTGATGGATTTTTTTAACAATTGATAACACAACTTAAATTTTTGTAAATACAACCTCTTGAAATGGACTTACCACAAATTTTGCAAATATTATTGTCAATGCTATATAGAAAAAAATTCTACCTCATCTTTGATTTTTAGAACTTTAACTTGATTTTGTTACATATAAAATTAAGTGAAGCTTATCAATTTCAACCAATCAAAAAATTCAAAATATGTGTACCATTCTTCTCTCCTGAGTATAAATATTCCCCCCCCCCCTCCCCAAGTTAAGAAAAAAAAAAAAAAAAAAAAAAAAAAAAAACTGCTTTTGAGAATCTAAACAAGACAATTAAATTTCGTTCTTAAATCAGATGTTCCAAATTCCATTAAAGCCCTTGCGAGAGTTTAGGGCTGCTGGACATATAGGAGATCGGGATTCATGAAGTGAGGTACCCAAATGAACAAAGATGTAAAATACTCTTTCGAAGGTCAAGGTAAGTAGTCAAAGAACTCACATAGATGGATGAAGTATTACACATCAAATCAGCGATTTAAGATTGGTAAGAAGTGGTGCACTTAGAAACAGAAAAAATGCTTGACGTTGGATAATGTTATACCTGACAGGCAAGCCAGAAGACAAATAGACATTTAGGATTAACGGAAAAAAAAAAAAAAAAAAAAAAAAAACCAGAAAGCAGAAGCGGCAAGAGGAGAATGGAAGGACGAACTCCATGCCTGGATTGTGGTAACTACCCCATGAATGCTGAAAAAGACGATAGATTTTCAAGTTGGGTTGTACAATACAAGTTTTTGGGCTTACGAAAGTCCTGTTTCTGGCATCTAGGATTGATTTAGGGTAGAAGTTCTGGCGAGAGTATAACCCAGCTAGTTTAATCTACATTTCCAGAGCTGTAGGTTGAGATTTACCCAAGCTAATTTCCGATTGAAGAATGGTCATGAAATATTGAAGTCGAATGTTGGCTAAAACAGAATCGATCCAAAACAGGTTCGGACTAAAGAACGTGAGCTCATTGCCGTTCATTACAGTGGCCATCATGAACGTATAGGTGTAAAATCTTCAACGAGGATATTGTTGTCAAGCATTTCGTAGAACGTTCAAAGAAATATATTACTCCTGTAGAACGTCTAAGAACATCACAACCAAGACGTCCTTAGGCCTTTCTGACAATCACGCGCCTTTCTCTCCTATACTCGATCTCATCTCGTTGAGCCATCACAATGAGTGCTCGCCGTATCTGCAAAAATTGTGGGCACTTGGTCAAACAAAGTTGGATATTGAATTTCAAGAGAACTTGAATTTTACTGCTGTGAAGGATATCACACTGCGGACATTGAGACACGTAGTAAAGGGCATCTTAAATATTATAATACAAGACACAATTTCATGTACAAGACAACTAAGATACCAGGTCCAGACATAGCAGCAGATATTTAGGCTATATGCTGGCCGCCACAGGGTGCAGAGCAAACTTACAGTTGACTCTCCCAGACCGGTTCGCATAATTTCATCTATGAGGCGTCGCTCCGACAAGAAGCTGCCGATGCCCATGCGCCTTTTGACTTGCAATTCCACTTGCTGCATGGAACCAGCAACCACTTGTGACCAAATGAAATAAACGCAAGCCGCATTTCATGCCTTAAAAAGTTGGAAATCAAATTACAGTACGATCAATCAGACTAAAACTAATCTGTTTGTAATAAGCATTGCTGATAAATCACAAAAATGAATCGCATAGCAGAGCATGGAAGCATAGAAAAAAGAAACGAAAACTGACATTGATAAGTAGTTGTGTAAATATAAAACTTTAATTAGTTGAGAATTCATACTTCAAAATTCAGGACAAATTCTGAATAGGATTCTTTAACAATATTCAGCAAAGAGCACATAAACTAAGGCACCAAGTGAGATTCTTGATGTCCCTTTTGACATAAACGTCGTGATTGAAAGATGGATAGTTATGGTGAAGCATGAAGAAAGTCTGATGTATGACCTGAATCTCTGCTCTCATTTCAGGAGTGACAACAAGATTTGCAGTAATTCCAGATCGAGCTGCATCAAGAGTAGAAACATGAAACAGACGAAGCGCCTCAGTGACGTGCTCTTCAGTGGCCACTGCTGACCTGCAAGGCAGCCGATAGGAAGTAAGACACTTCATCTGGCAGTGTAATATCAACCAAATATGTGGGCATCTAATGACTCAGAACTGTCAGCTAGACAAACCGATTGATACAGAAGTAGAAATGTGGACTTACAATTGCATCCTTGCTAAGGACTCACTGATGCGGATAATAGCCTCTAGTTGCCGAACGGTGATTGGTATTGGTGAGCCTCCATTCTCATCATTTTGTTGACGCATTTGCTGTAAGGTGAGTACCAGGATAAAAATTAACACCTCCAATAAAACCATATGAATATGCAACCATAAGAGGTGGAGACCTGCCGACATGCGTCTTGAAAAACAATTAGGAGTAGCATCTGAAAGAGCACATGTCTAATACCTGTCGAATCTTGACATAGTTACTTTGGAGAAGTTGCGCTGCTGAATCTGATAGGCGAGGGCTGCATTGGGATTTCGAGTATTCAATATACCTGCTCAAACCATAAAAAGCATAGTTCAATCAGCAACACAATCAAATCCAACGACTTGGGTAAGACTGCGTACATTTTCGAAAGCGAAACACTACAAAACAGGTATCAGAATCTCGATGATCCAGAATGCAGCTGAAAACTAGCCACTAGAAAAAATTAATACGGACTATGCTTCTCTGGTCAGGTAAAGATCGAAATTGTTTTCATCTTGGTATGACTTAAAATGCGAAGGTTGAATATAACCATCATATTATTACACCGAAATCCATGCAATGTAATGCTTTTGCTTCACAATGTTCATACCGTCTGAGCCAATTCTCCTTGTCCTGGACCTCTGTACCTCGTACAATTGAATCTGCAGTTGCATGAACATTGACAATGTGCCGTGCAATTTGCTGCAGATTCAAAAAATAAAAAACCAATTGTCAATGACGTTCATCTCTAGGATGAACACAAAGCTCGTCAATGTGGTAATTTTTCTTGCGAGAGTGTTATGCTGCAAATTGGATCAGCTTCAACGGCAAAATTCTACAATGGAAGTGTAAGATAATGGCTAACCATGTCTCTTGCATAATCTCGCGCATCCTTGACTATAAAAATTAAGTCAAATCGAGACAAAATCGTTGTCTGCAAATCGATGTTTTCTTGTGCTGTCTGCATAACAAGGCATACCAAGAAGGTAGATAAACAATTGTCATAATGTCAGGAGAAATACTTGATGAACTAGTAAGAACCGGAACAAATCACGAGTATCAAGTAGGCCAAGGAACTAAAGCTACAAATAAAAGCAGAGAAGTATTAAGACCTTCAGATCATCATAGCGGCCCGATGGAGGATTAGCAGCTGCTAGTACTGAAGTCCGGGAGTTCAGTACAGTAGTTATACCAGCTTTTGCTATAGAGATCGTTTGCTGCTCCATGGCTTCGTGTATAGCAACCCTGCACAATATTGTCTACAAAATAAATGACGACAATTTGTGCCATATATCTATCATGTACAGATTGACGGATCCACAAAAATCTTGGTTTTTGGCAAAGTGGATCCTATTGCTTTTTCAAACGAAAAGGCCAGGAAAGAGGCACCCACCTGTCTTCAGGTCGCATTTTGTCGAACTCATCAATGCAGACAACACCTCCATCAGCAAGAACCATAGCACCTCCTTCAAGGTAAAACTCTCTCTGTGATTTAGGACACAGGTGTAAGCGACTATTAACATTTCGATATTTCAAAACACTTGCCATAGATGGTTTGCTATGTGAAACGAGAAACGTTCAGTAAGCAAAACATGCTCAGGTGAGAGTTTGGTAGAAAGATAAAAACACGGGGCAAATGTAAAATTGCATACCGTGCTAGAGTCACGAATAACGGATGCAGTAAGCCCAGCAGCTGAGGAGCCCTTTCCAGAGGTATAAACAGCAATCGGTGCAGTCTTCTCAACAAATTTTAGGAACTGCATAGCCAAGGCAATACACACACATCCTTCGTGGGTATTATGTACAGCTATTGCCATCCCAGTCGACGGACCCAGAACTTTACTGAAGGGAACTAAAAACATGTATTCAAAGGCATTCGTGCACGATGTGCCTTTTCATAAGCATTCTCCTATCATTACGCAGAACACTTCACCTATGGAGAAGAAATCATAATATCCTAGATATCAATTTTAGATACCTCAATTAACCAAATACTGAACTGTGTCTTGAAAAAGGAGAAAAGAAAAGATGAAACAGCATATGACAAGAAGTAAATTAATGTAGCACGTCAAACGTCTCGTAAAAATTTATTTGTAATATCTCACCTGAGACTTCGCGGTAGAGGGATCTCCAAGAAGAAGCACGTTGATGTCTCCTCTCAGGCGTACACCGTCAGGCAACCTCTGCTCTTTCAAATAATACAAAACGTCAGCAGAAGTTCATCTTGTCCTGTAGTTCAGCCTTACAGTAACTGAAGCACAATGAGAGAGAAGAAGTTGAAACTACTAAAAAATTGTAACCATCAACCATATCCAGCGGTTAAGAAATATCAAATAATTTTTTGATCAAGGACAAAACCGGAGAGGTAGATAGATTCTAGACCCCGATACGTGCTGAAAACGATAATCACCTTGCGAGCTCCACCAAAAAGTAGACATGCTACTGCCTTCTTGACATCATCGTGACCAAAAATTGAAGGGGCGATGAGCCCACATACTTTTTGATACGCATCTGGTCTACGAGCAAATTCTTTGAAATCCATGTCCTGGACATGCAAACCATTGTGAGCAGCTGGAAGACAACACTATTCAACGTTGATGATAGGATGCGAGAGATATTAGTCAATGAAAAGAATAAATAGCAATATCACTGCAAAGTAGAGGCAAACGAGACCATGAACATCCACTCTTACTCACTCCAATCCAAGATATAGTCCCTCGTAATACAAGCCGAAGTAGATATAATGTTAACTGCCACAAACCTCATCAGTATTGTTCATAGAACCTCCAGCTTTGTGTGCATCGATGGCTTGCTCCAGGCCAACAACTCGTAGGTAAGGTTGCCGAATTGCAATTGCACCCTTCTGCCTGCAATCTAAATAGTCAGCTAACCAAGCAAGACTGCACATCAACCTTGAAGTTTGACTTGAAGTTCAATGTATGCATTCTTACTTCAAAACACAACAGGACGGTGGTTCTCACTCTGGTCCGCTGCCACCAGCCTGGAAAATACTATAAATGCCCACTACAGTGACGCGAGTTCCAGGTACAGTCTTCTGAACCATGTTACGATCAACTGCTAGCAGCAAATTTCTAGGTAGCTCTCCTGTAGGAACATCCTGCCGATATTTCCAACAACCATAATGCTTGAGATAGAAATGGAATAGAACGGAAGGACAACACCACAGTAGAGATCCAAGGCTGCCAAGGGAAGTGGTTGACATTACGCATCGTAATTACAACCTTTAAAAGAACACAAGGGACCTCTTACTCAGTACGCAGACTACTTGACAAATAGTACTGTAAGAGTGTGCAATGACTTCTTCAATTTCATGAAGCGACTAATTACGACACAATCGACAATCACCTCAGGGTTCTCCTGTAGCTTCAAAGTTTGCTGGTCAACATATTTACTCTTGTCGGGAACCACAACAAATGGGTCTAGCGGACACGGCTCTTCCCCTGGCTGACAAAATCCAGACAGGAACACCTTCATTATCAGAGCGTTTATTACAATGGTGAAAAAAGTAATGATGAAAACGTGTGAAACTATCTGCATCTCTGCGCTAGTTGTAGGAATAAATCACTCTCTTTGACACGCACCTGAGTTACATGATCACAGCTCCTTGGCATGACCGCACCCCCAAGACCTGGCCTGCAAGCCACGGATTTAACGTTCTTGCAATTTTTACAAATCAATGTGACTGATGTAGCCTTAGCCTTTGTTCTCGATGCTGCGATAATAATACCAGTAATCTTCACCAGTCTCGAAATACTGTTCGCCTGTGTTGATTTCAAGTTTGTGAGAATACAGTGGGTGGAAGCTGAAGATAGCGATAAAAGCAGAAGTTTAAGAAGATGGAGTAATCACAAATAAGAAATGTGTCTTGCAACAAGTATATTCAGCCGATGTTCGCAGGTCAGTACCACCAAGACGGTGCTGTAATTTGTATTAAATGGCATGCGTTCGTGCTGTGCATAATTTCCTGTTCTCAACGCATGGGCAAGTCAGAAACAAGGATCTCATACTTACAGCAAGTCCACGAATAGAGGCAGCCTTCTCTTTGGATGTCAATAGCACTTGGACATCTCCAGTATTTGGCTCTTCCAGTTCACCATCTTCGCCCGCAACTTTAGATTTAAGTCCGACCAATACTTCTGCAGCCGCTTGTTCAAACTACCCACACAGCACCAGCATTTAGAATCAAACATATAAGCTCTCACACACAGTTGGAGCTTTTCACAAAACTCTCGTGATGTACAGAAATATCCTCTTGTCAACGTAATGCTAATTGTTAATCAAACAGAATCGATCACCAGAGGTTGTTGAAGAATGCCATTTTCATAACAATGCGCACTCCACCTCCTTTGATCGGCCATACTAAAGTGTCTCAGAGGAGGTTAACGTGTCAATGACGACAGCGACGAATGAGAGAAATGAAGATGAGCATAGCAAGTGCTGATAAAGTAATGCTGACTTGAACAAGATGAGGGTTAAGGTTAAAACCAGAGGCAAGTAATCAGCAGGCATAGTCCGAAGTCTTTCAGACAGTTCATCGTCAAAATTGTGAAGGTCCTCCAATGCAACTTGCAGAACATTCGGATTTTGCAGCAGCGACTCCCTGCCACGCTTCTTGACATGAGATTACAGAAAATTTGGGAACCGTGACATTTAGCTGCGAAATGCCAGGTCGAGAGACACACATACTCGAAATACACAACACAAACCTGTAAGGAAATGGTCCCTTCACATCGCCAAAGCTACGGATAAACTCCTTGAACTTGCGCTGAGCTGTGTGCCGAGTAGCTGCATCTGCCACATTAACATCATTGTCCTCCAATTGCTGATCGCTGTAGAATACATTGCCCTCATCCCAACCCGCCATCCTGCCTCCACTCCTTTGAACTTCGTCTACACCACTTCAAGTCGCCTTCTCTACAACAATCTTCTGGGGCAGATTCAACTAAAAGCTCTCATTGACACTCTAGACCACCTCTCTTAACTGAATACGACTCAAATGGAACCGTCAACCTCGGCTCCGATTCCTCTACAAATTTTCAAGCCAGCAACTCGATCCTTAAGATACTTCATGTAGCCACCTGGGGCTCAGACTTCAATGCTCCGTACAAATAACGCATGGAAATTCCGCAACAATCAGAAACACAAACGCGTGCAAATGCAACGGAAACAAAACCCTCGGCACGGCCGAGAGTATTGGCGCCAATGCTCTTCCCGCCTAATGTCCTCATCCAATAAAATCATCCATTTATTTCATTCATTAATCATCGATAGGCCCTTTTCACACTGCGATATGGCAGGATCCGCACCCTTGAGTTCAATGGTCGCGAAGATGAGTCCTTTGCTGTGGAGAATTTTGTATGGCCTGTGAAACTGGTGTGTTGGATCTCGTGGTGGAGCCTCCAGGAGGTTAAAGGATTGTGTAATTGGATTCTGGAGGTGTTTTTAGGGTTTTTGCGGAGAGTGTTGAGAGGTTTGAAGGTGAGGTGGAAGTTTAAGTGGTGGTGGAGTTGGTTTGATGACATGGGGGGAGCTTTTTGGCTATGGTTGTCGACGACGAAGAAAGAAAGCCAACCTCACTCATGGTCCGAATCGCTCATTGGAAAAGTAACCCAAATTTCTGAGTGTAGTTACGTCCATTAGATACTATTGTACTGTTATGCTACCATAATTTCTGGTGTAGAATAGCTATGAAACAGTCCTTTGTAAGTCGGGGTTGTCGAGGGCTTGGTTGAGGATCACTGGCGAGATGAATGGACAACTTAATTAGTGTGAAGTGGAGAGTCGAAGTTATTGGCGTGACCTGAATAGTGACTGGAAGTATTGTTGATTTCAATTCTATCTGCGATCCTGATTTCCTTGACCAATGGCATGTATGTTGATTGGCTACGTGGGAAATGGTTCCTTGCAGATGCTTTCAAGCTCTACCATTTTAACCTCGAAACAGAGTTCTCAACCGTCGATACCATTTCAAGTTGCGAGTGTGTTCAAAAAAACTATGGGATTAGACAATTTCAGGTTTGAATCAGAAATTCATTGGACATGTTGTGTAGAACTAGGAAAAGACTCTTTATCAATCTGCTGTTTAACTTCATCTAAGCAAGCATCTTGATCACCACAAGGTACCTCAACGTGATGGCCTGTAATTAACGTTTCATCACTCGAGTCAGCAAAACGTACCAAGTTCCCTTTGCACTGCTAAAGAAGATAGAGATGAGACTGTCATATCTGGAAAAAAATACCTTGTGAGTGTGAGACGCATTCATTCTGCATCAAGGGGTTCTAGTCAGGTCTTCTAGGTTACAGAATTGGGAGTCATAACTTGTGACAATTTCAACGTGCCTTACTCGGTATCACTGACAAGAGCACTGAGAAAATGGTGTTCGTATGTTTAAAAACAATGATGTGTCAAAATCAATTTAGAGTATGAGAGAAACCCTTTAGCTCCATGAGAACCTCTGCAGAATCAGTATCTTAGTGGCGCGCTACTAGCTGCATGTTACGATCTCCAATCCAGATGACAGTAATAAACATCCTTGAGATGTACAGGCATTCCGATTATCGAACACCGCCATTCTCTGGCAAACATTAAAATTCACAGAGCTTCCTTAATATGAAAAACCTTCGAAAATCATTTCCATGAATCAATTATGGACACTCTAGTGAACATACTGCAAACCTCACAAAAGTATATTCACTTTTCACAGTCTCAAGATCCAACGTCTAGTCTTCATCGACCTGCTATGCCAACAAACTCGAAACAGCACAAAGGTAAATCTATATAAGCTATCCTCAGTCCGAGCTACAATTGACACTTGTTCAAGATCAGAAGCAAAACAATACCGCTCAATAAATTATACTGGCAGCCGCGTTTCCTTCCCTATAATATTGCCACGCAATGACCAGTTCAGTGGAAATCCGAAGTATGAAATGAAAGTAAATGCAGACACTTCAATAGAACAAATTGTATCCAAGACTCACCGTAGTGGCGAACAAGTGTGTCTACACAGACAAAACATTCCGAATCAATTTGAACAAACGTCTCCGCATGCATATGTGCACAAAAAAACATACAAACCTCACTTACAGGTGTGGAATCAGTATTGTTACAGAGTGCGGATCCACAGCTGCATTTACTGTTGGATTGCATAGTACACTAGTATTGTATTGATTGTGTCCTTTAATAGACTTATGTATTTATGTATTTTAGGGTCGTGACCCTTCCAAAAAAACGTTACAGAAGGACACGTGTCAATCAGTTGTATGATGTAATAATAAAACCTCTATAATTTCCACATTGTACCAAAGCAAATTTGATTTTTTTTATGAAGTTATAATAAATCTACAGAGGTTTCATTGAACCTCACAATGGAGACAATAGTTATCAATGTAGTCTTTCTACAATCCTGCTGCAATTTAAAGTTCAAAAATATTAAAAGGAAAGTTTTCACTTCTAAATTTAACATGTCAAATATATGAAAGTAAAAATACATATGAAACTTTCAGATTAAAAGTGGAAGTTTTATATTTATAAAACATCTATAATATGTTAAAAATTGATAAACAATCAACCAATGCTTAAAATAAAAGAAAAAACATTTAAAATAATATATTTATGTTCTATAGAATAATTTAAAGTTTTTTTTAATAAAATTTTAAATTTTAAAATTATTATTTAAATAAATATCAATCATATTTTTAAGTTTTATAGTACTTGTTTTAATATATAGAAATACAAAATGAGATTAATTTTCAAAGAAAAAAAAATTGGTTTCTAATAAATGATAGAGAATTTTTATTAGTGGCACTAATAATAACTCAAATCGTTGTTGGAATTCTAGTTTTACTCATCAAAATAACAAAAAGTATAAGCAATTAGAGAGATAGAAATGCCATTATTTTAACCATTATTAACAATTGTTTTAAAAATCATATCATTTTACATCTTCAATCATGCCAAATTTCACATCAAGCTTCAAAAGAATTAATAGATGTATTTGAATCACAAGTTATAGTGACAAAAATTCATCTTAAAGAAATGTTACATACTTTCATGATAAGAAAAAATAAAATTATTTTTAATCATATTCTTAATTTTAGATAAGAAATTCAACAAATATTTGTAGCACGATTAGAAGTTTTAGATGATGAAGCAATATTAACCCTAATGAAAAGCTTTCTTTCCAGTTATAATACTTATATTTGATTTAATAAATTAAAAAAGCTATCATTTTATAATTGTTAATAATAGATTTGATATAAAAATAGATATTGATAAAAAAATTAATCTTATATTAAAAAAATAAATCTTTAATTAAAAGATGAAATATCTTAATTGTAATGAAAAATTATTTTTTAATAAAAAATTTAAAAGGTTCTTAAGTTTAAATTTAACTTTAAAAGGTAAAAGTAGATTTTGATTTAATAAAAAGAAAGAATTTTTTAATGCTAAAAAATATTTCTATTACAAAAAATTGAATCATACTATTTAAGATTGTAGAATACAAATTTTTGCTAAAAAATTAATTAATCAATCAAATATAGTCATACAACCTTACAAACTATATATGATTGCACTCATTACATTAAGAGACTCTATATCTACATGATATGTAGATTTTAGAATAATATTATACATGTATTATCAACTTTGTGGATTTATTGATTATACAAAGAATAATAATAAATAATTTATATATTTAGAAAATAACATGAAATCATACCAAAATATTAGATATGATTATATTAAAATAAGACTATCCAACACTGAAGAAAAAGTCATACATGAAGTCTTCTCCATTCCTATGCTTGAAATAAAAATAAAAATAAATTAAAATAAAATTAAAATAAATGCTAAAGAATTGATTAAAGATTGTATAAAAATTTGCATACAATTTGAAAATTTTACACCAATAAATAAACTAGGACAAATTATTACAATATACAAATCACAAAATGACTTGTACAAATTAGGTGATACAATAATATTACAACATAACATAATTATTATATATGCAACTATAAATTTCAATATAGTTGAATTTTGACATCTTTGACTTATTTATATGAATCAATACAAATTAAAAATACTTCAATCTATGGAATAAGAAATTATATATTTTGATATTTAAAGAATAATTTATATATACCTTATATTAAAAAAAATAATACAAATACAAACTTTCGAAAGAAGTATTGCAAAGAATTCAAGAATCTTTAGATTTAATATACTTGATTATATGTAGTTTAATACTAATTAGAACCTATTCCAGTTGTTGCTTCTTTATAACAATTATAGATGACTTATTTAGATATAATTATGTATATGTAATGCATTACAAATTAGGAGGATTTGATAATTTTTTATATTGTAATAATTTTTTAATGGAAAACTAGATTAATTATAAAATTATGATATTAAGAACACATTGTAGAGGTATATATATGTATATATATATATATAAAATAAAATTTTAAACTTTTATATCAAAAATTAATTAAAATATATTTTACTACTTTATATACATTTCAATAAAATGGTTTTTTGAATGCAAAAGATTAGACTTTTAGATGAGAAATCTTAACCATATTATTATATACCAAGTTATCAAAAAGCTTTTGGTGAAAATCACTCATAATAACAAACTATCTTTAAAACAAGAATCCCACCAAAGCAATTCTAGTAAACAAAATACCTTTTAAAATATGGTTTGACAAACAACCAAGTTTATTTTAGAATTTTTAGAAGCAAAGCCTATGTTCTAGCTCAAAAAGAAATAAGACAAAAGTTGGACTCATATTCTATTGAAATTATTTTCTTAGGCTATAGTAATGAATCTAAAACATATTTTTTTATAATCTCTTTTAATTAAAAGATTATTATGTCTTAAGATGTTATCTTTTATGAAATTATTTACATTGAATAAGAGGTTGATACATATAAAGGTAAAGAAGTCTCAATAAATCTTAATCTATTCATTATTCCTAAAAACCTAAAAATCCATAAATACCTTCGGATCTACTTAAACAACCTCCATCTCAACATATTAGCTCCAATCAATAAGCTCAAACTATGAAAATGCACCTATCACAAGATAATTAACAACTATAAAAAAATCACCAATATTTCATTTAAACTGATTTATTAGATTATTTTTACACTTTCATTTACAAAGTTATAACAAGACTTACATTAAGAAGAATCTTAATATATTTTCAATATAAAAACTTATATTCAACCACCAAGTTCTTCTTGCCTTTAAAAAAGATTCAATTATCTAAAAGATTCATTGAAACAATGTTTGGTAGTCTTCCACCACATTTCTTTCTGTCCCTATCATAAAAGACAACCTTAAGTAAACATAACATGCGTATTATCAAAAACCCCTACCACCCTATAAAATACTTTAAAAATAATTAATGCACACAAATGATAAGCTACTATATACTTAAAGTTTAATTCTTCACTTACAAATAAAACCTAAAAATTGACTCTATTAACTTTAAACAAAAAATAAATTGATTGTAAATTAATTTTTAAAATAAAAAATCATGCTAATAGAACCAAAGACAAATACAAGGCTCAACTAGTGGACTAGAGGCAATACACACATTCAAGGCATAAGATACACGAAAACCTTCTTTTTTGTAGACAAATTCAATTCTATAAAATTATTGCTACTATTAATTACACAATATGACTTAGAAGTTTATCAACTAGATAAAAAAAAATTCTATATAAAAATTAAGATGAAAAAAATATTATATTATTTTATAAGAAAAAATACCATTAAAATAATTTTAATTTAAATATATTTTAACTTTAGATATTTTGCTTAATATTTTAAGCAAATATTTATTTCTAATAAAACATAGTCATTGCATAAAAAACTAAAGTATATACATCTAATACCTAAAATTAAAGAAAATCTAATACTTATAATTTAAGATTTAATAACTTATTCAAATTACAATCATATCTACCCTTCTCACTTATATGTGAGAAATTTTCAACCATACATCTATGACTATTCAATGCATTTGATCAATTTTATAATTCTCTTTTATATTCTCTTCCTTAAGCTAGGAAAATATATTTGTAATTTGATATGCCTTAGAATCAAAGTCACTTCAATTAACAAGATGGCTTATCTAAGATCCACCAAAATATAAGCTCTTTATAGTATATATTTATCTTAAATTATTTATAATTTAATGGAGTACACTTAAACAAGCCTGAAAAACAGTTTTGTAAAAGATATGCATAAATTAAAAGAAGAATGATACTTAATCAACCTAATTATTATAAAAGCCAAGCTTTACAAAAATGCCAATCATTGCAGCAACACAAAAAAAAATCTTGTGAAACATTGTTATCATCTTTAGTATAATATCACTTCTACTTTGAGAAAACAAAAGAATTTTTATTTCTTTCTCAACAAAACACTTCAATAGAAATCAAAGCAAGGTAACACCTTCACAATAATTAGAACAAATTCAATCAAGTCTCTTACAAAATGTGTATGCTTACAATCTATGTCACCTTATTAAATAAATGAATAAATAAATAAATAATTATAGAGCTCTAGAACATAGAAAAAGAAGCACAAGGTAGCAACAATACATTGCAAAGTTCTTAAACACAACAAAAAGAGCACAAGACAACAAAAAAAACATTGCAAAGCTTCAAAAATTAATAGTAGAAGCACAAGGCAACAACAAAACATTGTAGAGCTCTACAATATAATGAAAGGAGTACAAAGCATCAACAAATGCTTGTCTTGAGAGTATAATTGAAGAAGATGGATGAAAATATGTTCATAGTACAATTGAACTAGTATACTAATAGAAATGTTGGATATATTTATAATAATTGGTATAAAATATTTATATTATATAAATTGCATCTTTTGATAAAATTTATATAAGTATATATTCTAGACTTTGTGACTCTTTTAAATAGAAAAAATCATCTTTATTATATAAAAATACATATTATGCATTTTTATAATATAATAATTGAATTTGTATAATTTGTACATTTATTCTTAAAAGATAGAAATTCTTTCAAAAATTGCTTTTCTAAATCATTACCAAGCCAAGAGTTTTCCTTATCCATATGACATGTATCCAATACTGAACAATATTCATAAAATTATATTTTTTATTTATAGGTTGTATTATATTAAAATAAGAACATTTCATTCTACAAATTCTTCAACAAAGAAGAACAATGCAAGAAAGGATTATTGTGTAGAAAAATTTAGACAAAGACAAAGTTATAGAAGACTAGATTCTTCTTTTGTTTATTTTCCTTTTGCTTTTGTATTGCATTCTAAGCTCAAAAAATAATTGGATATTTGTGTATCAATTATTAGATTTTATTAAGTCCTACATCCCTTTTCTTTCTAATGTTGCTAATTTTTTAAACTTAATTATTGTAGATTAAAGCAATTGGACACAAGTTTTCTTTATAAATATGTTTTATTGTGCAAGGTGTCAAAATATGCTTATTTTATTATTAATAATTTTCTTTAATACCACTTTTGTGTAAATACTTAAATTTGAGTTTATTTATTTATATATTGCATTGTTGTTGATAAAAAAAATATAAAAAGAAAATACAAATTTATTTATCAAAGTCTTAATATTATACTAATAAAAAAGAAAATAAACTAAATTAGCACAAATACCTATAATATGATTATTATGATTTAATTGAACCTTATTATTATATAAGAAATGCATAAGTGACATTAGAGAGATATACTTTGTTTTATTTATTTTTCTTTTAGAATAAATTAAGTATATGTTATTTCACTAGGATTATTAAAAAAATACTATCTTTTGAAGTTAATTATTTTTTTAACCAAAATATTTTTTTCATGATTTTATAAAATATAATTTATTTTTATTTATATATACATAAAAAATATTTATTTCAACCAACTATTCAAAATTTATCAAAATTTATAATATACATACATAGTATTTGTAATTTTATAATATAAATAAATTATTAAAATAATAATAATCATATTAGAATTATATAAAAAAATATAATACTATTTATAAAAAATTATAGAATTTGTATTATAATCTTTGGAAATTTATTGTTAGTGGTTTAAATTTATAGGATGTCTAATAATACTTCTAAAAAATATTTATTTTTAAGTTGAAGATAACTTTTTAATATCTTATTTGTCTTGGATATTAAAGTATTTTTCTAAAATATTTTATAAATTTAACTTAAATAATTTTTTGGTAACAACAACATTTCTAAAATAACCAAAAGCAAAAAGATTAGAATTCAATGAAGAACTTATTGCAAAAGATCACAATGTGTATTGCAAGTATAGCTAAGGCAATTGAAAAGCACAACCCTTATCAATCAAAGGGAGGCAATAGCAAAGTAAAAGAAATAGTTGGACCACCAAAACTTGTATCACAAATACATATTATTATCTAAAAGCATTTTGTTCTGAAAATTTTTTATAAAGGAAATGCAGGGTAGAAAAAACATAAGTTTTGCAATAATAAGACAATAATATACAACTTAGGGGTGGATATATAAGCCCACTCTAAAATAAATTTTTATAATAGGTACAAGAGTGACTGTTCAGCTATTAGAAGCATGTTTGGGGTATTTAATTTTTCTACCATCTTTGAAAAAAAAAGATACTATAAGTTTGATTGTAAAAATTGTTTAACACATAGTGGCATGCTCTTGTTTATATACTCCAATAATCCCATTTTAAAAGATGGTCCTTCAAATTTTAAAGTACCCATGAAAAACATCCAAGAACAAACAAAAATATCTAACCAAACTTAGAATGTGCCCAGTAAATGATAAAAAGCAACCAACGACAATATTTTTGACGAGATTGATGCACGAACGATTGCCACAAAGTTGTAGCAAGGAGCCTATCCTATCCCAAAGGCCCACTCCCCTTCTAAAAAAGCCACGATTGCCATGATTCCATATCTAAGCAATACCGGTATGACACCACATTCCCTAAAAACCAAGCAGAACAGGAGATGAAATTGCATTATAACAAGTCCTTGAAATAAAAGTGTCATCGACAAAAACTTTCTTATAATGGCAGCAAACCTCTGAGGGCAATATGCCTGATGGAGAATAATGACGCTCAGTTCAACAGGAAGTTGCATTGCACAAAATGATTCCAGACTCCAACTTTTCGATGATTTCAACAAATCCTAACGTTCGTTGCAAGGAAATAGTAATTTGACCTTATATAACATTTGTAAATCTTCCTTGATTCTAGTGGTTGAAGTACTTTCAAGAATATGCTCAAATACACACTTTCCTCCTCACCTTCAATTGTTTATTTGCAATCAACATTTTGATGTCTGCTACATTGTGTTTTGAAGATTTTACACTCTATGTGTCTAACAAGTATCAAGCTAACTGTAAGTTTCAAGGTCTTCCAAAGTTATCATCAACCGCAACCCACAACGTTTGATTACACTTTTGGGTTGGTGTAGTTGAGCTCAGGCCCAGATGCTGTATTAACCTCCTGAAGTCGCGGGAGAAGGAAATTTGCAGTTTAACATTGATGTTACAAATTGGACAAGAAACTTTCTAATCCAACGTTTAATGAAAAGGATGATCCATAAGACCTGTATTACATGTCGATTTGGACTAATTTATCCCTCGTACAATAATCAATACATATGTGTACCATTGTAAAACTTGCATATCAAATTTCCTTCATCTCACTAATTGCTCGCCGAAGATACGTACAAGTTGAGTCAAATATTAGTAACGCAAACAAAATTACGATGTATATGTTACTGCTCATCAATCCTTGGAGGACTGCTTCTCAGCCACGTACTTCTCAGTCTCAGCCACTGCTGCCAAGGCTGTTTTCACCATCTACAATAAGTCACAACACAAATTGCAAAAACTTGTCAGTCCCAACTCACACATGCTCTAGAATTGACCATCCAAATTGAGAGTGAAGGTTTGAGCACTTACAAAGTCAATTTGCTCAGGTGTGATGATAAGCGGGGGAGACATCATAATAATGTCACCTGCCACACGCACCAACATACCACGTGCAGCACATTGACCAGCAAAATGTGTTCCCACAGCTGCAACATAGCCCACAACACAAAAGTTATTACCAAGTCCAACTGAAACAACTGACCCGCGTACAAATTTACAAATATACTTCAACTTGTACAACCACAGACATCCAGTTCATACCCCATTTAGCTGGATACGCTTCACATGTCTCCTTGTTTGCGGCGAATTCAATCGCCAACACTAATCCTACTCCTCGCACCTTCAGGATCAAAAGCCATTTGGCGAATGTTATTTGAGGATCGGCAAATACTTTCATCAGCATGCAGCAATACTAAGAACCTACCAAGCGTGGAAAATTTGTGCAGTCACGCACCAAATGTACTACTTCAGGATAAACAATCAAATGGTTAAGAATATGGCACCTCTCCAACAATGGGGCTCTTAGCGAGCTGCCTCATGCCGTCCTGAAACGGAGGGATAATCTTCCGAACTTGTGCACATATATCTCTTTCCCTAAATTCAAGGCATAGGGGTAACCAAACATCAGTATTATCATTGAAGGGAGATATTATTAACTAGTAACATTTCGAAATACTGCTTCATACTTCAGAATCTTGTTTATAGAATGAAGACTTCTATAAAGAGGAAAATTTGCGCAATGTAATACTTGCCAACACTTCGAACCAATCACTCACTTGTAAATCTTCAGTGCCTCCAGTGACACGGCACATGGCACTGGGTGACCAGAATATGTGAACCCATGTCCAAACGCCCCTAAAAACACAACGTCATTCAATAAGAATACTGACTACCAGATTTCTTTTCAAAGGGTCTCCGGCTTATGCACCAATTTTAAATGAGGAACAACTGTTCCATGTGCCAGAATTGTAATTGCAGAACTTCTAGACGTTAGCTGTTGAACTCAAACTTACCATATCCATCACTCAATTTCGCAATTCCGTCGAAAATCTTCTGACTAACAAGGACAGCTGCAATTGGCACGTATGCGGACGACAGTGCCTATGGCCCAACCAACAAATGCAGATATCAATTGTTATAGCATATAACCACAATAGAGCACAACCTGCTTAAGCTCCATTATTTTGGATGTGGTCTCTATCTTATGAAAGGTTAGAACCCTCAGTAACTAATATGAATATTTAAGCCAGTTCAAAGGAAAAGCTCAATTCTTGATAACCTGATACTTGAAGCTGCGGTAAGATACCCAAAAGTAGTAAAACAACAGAGAGAAGATAGTTTACCTTGGCAACAGTCACGAGGTCTGGCTTAATATCGTAGTAGTCACACCCAAACATGGTACCCAATCGGCCAAACGCACAGACGACCTAAACCCAAAAAAATCAAACTGTAATAAACATTTATTCATGATCATATTCATCAAGTCGCCATTTTACGGAGCATCCTCAAACGCACGTAGAATAAAGTAATGTATGAGATCGTGATACCTCGTCTGCAATCAAAAGAATATCGTATTTCTTCAAGATAGGTTGAATCTGTAAAATCAAGGTCATCATGAAATGAGAAGTAGCCCAAAATGGAACATAATAGAGGAGAGAATGCAAATAGAAACGAAACCAGACATAATCGGAATATATCAAAGGAATGAACTGCTCTAGCCTAAAGATTCATCCTCTACATGAAGATCTGGTGGAATCCTCCTATCGTCCTCATCCATAACAATGCAGGTTCGACAACCAACTTCAACAGCTTTGCAAATGACTTCAGAAAAAACTCAGTATTTAACGGAAAATTAGAAAAAAAAAAAAAAAAAAAAAAACTATTCAAGAAAATTAGACTTCCACTTGAGTGTATAAAGCACTTGCATTGGCCTAGTCAAGAACGAGTAAACATCTCTAAATTTCGGTAGTCCATATCAAAAACAGAACGCGAGTATACTAAAGATTTGTGCCCATGTGATTCTCACCTTCGCCCAGTATGTCGCAGGAGGTGGCATGACACCTCCAGCACCCATCACGGGTTCGCCGATAAAGGCTGCAATCTGCACAGAGCCGTAAAATACTTCTGAGATTATTCAATTATCTCCAATTGATGGGTCTGAGGTGCACGGCATTGCACACATTGGCTAATAAAAATAATGAGTTTTTAGCAACTATACATAAGTGCACAGAATGATACTCAGTAAGAGCTGCTACTTACAGTTTCGGGACCCTCTTTCAGGATTAGCTTCTCCAAGTTCTCTGCTAAACGTGTCGCGAAATCCTCTTCAGATTCGCCTGATTGATATAGAGGACAATCAATAGTGAGTAAAGCTACGTCGTGAAAGCTTCCTCAGATACAAGCACAGTGCTCTATCCTCAGCTACTGAAAATCCAACTAGAAAATAGCAAAGATTCCAACTGACAAATTCATCGTCTCCTCAGCTAATGACAGATTACGAACTCACGATCGTCCAAAATCACCTTTCCCAACAAACATTTTGTGACCACAGAACAGTATCGACTTGTAACCAGCGAGGGAATAGAAACAAAACATGATTCCAGTGGTATAGAAGAAAATTTGGATTGTGAAAGAGCTGAAAAGAGTACTGACCCGGCAAGTGGTAGCGCCAATAGTGGGGGCAATCGGTGTGGAGGACAAATGAGACTGGCAGATCAAAACCATTTTGAAGAGATGGCAACCTATCACCAAGAGCAGCACAATACTGCACTGTTTAAACAAGCAGTTCGTGGCAAAACGGAAAATAGGATAACTAAGCTTCGCTCAAAGCGACGCATCTCCGTGAATCAGTAAATGCAAACAGCTGCACAAAATGACTACGAAGGGTAAGAAGACACACCCTGTAAGACTTGCGGATATCAGTGTGGATCCATGGTACCTGTAAAAGTATGATAGAAACCTCGAGAGTCAGCACAGACATCGGACATGAAAGAGTAACTAACTATTGTCAGCTATAAGTGCATATTCTGTAAACTATCCAAAAAGCAGTCTAATTTGTGTACTGTACTATTCAAAGCTAACCTGTCACAACTGGGGTATCAGTCAAAGTACAATTTGTATAAAAGCAGAAGATGATTGAGTTAGACAGCCTCCACATTAACGGACACGGTATACTTGAACTTTCTAAACTACACAACAAATTATCATGAATACAAGAGGCTAGTAGATGAGATCATACGATTTCTGACGAGCAATGAACTTCTTTTTATTGGGACGCCCAATAGCGTTGTTGTAGTACCACACTAGTTTCACCTGAACGATCACAAGAACATTGATACAAAAATGATAAAAGTACTGGTGAGAATTAGGACATGAAAATGCTATCATTAAATACCACAGAGAAAATGCAGTTGGTGGTGGATGACTTCCTAAACTTAGAGAGTGTGAGACTGATAACGGAACTATTTTGACAGCGTACCTGAGTATCATTCGCCTCTGAGCCACTGTTGCAAAAAAAGACTTTGCTCATTTCAGAGGCCGTGAACAACTTGGACAACTCTGATGCTAGGTCCTGCATCGCCATCACGATCATTACCAACAAACTAGACCTACGAACAATTCATGCTGTCCATAAACATCAAGCTCTGAAAGTATAGCTAATTTGATTCATAAACTGCTGTTATTTGATTATTCTGCTCCTTTTAACATATATATATATATATATATATATATATGTGTGTGTGTGTGTGTGTGTGTAAGATTTATCCAATATTCTAGTGATATGGTGATGATTCAATATCTTTTACATTCCTGTTACCATTATCTATGCATCAATTTCATCTCATTATTGGTCTCAATTTCGAAATAGATAAAAACTCGATAAAGAAAAGCGGAATAATAGACGAACCAGAGTTGGCTGTGATGTTCGGTTCCAAAAGTTGTGATAGAAAGGCAATGTACTCAACTGCTTCTCTGCGGCTGCCACGAGGCGCTTCTCGCTAAAACCTGGCCAGGACAACTAATAGAGATTAATGTTTTGAAATCATACAAGAGGAACAGATTGATACCCACAGGGATCAGCTCTCGCACATTACATGAAATTCTGAAAGTCTGGACATTAAAATTAAAGATCAGGATAGAATTACCTAAAGCTGTACACCAGAGGCCCGCTAATGCGTCCAAGTATTTATTGCCTTTGTTATCCCAAACGTACACTCCCTGTATACAAACTCACAAGATTACTGAAAACTCTTCCAGTCATTAAACATCGTCTGCTTGACAAATCAGCAACATAAATTTGAGTTACTGTAGAATGATAAGCGTGAAAATGCACCTCTCCTCTTTCAATCACCAACGGTGTGCCTGCTTTCATTTGCCATCCCGCTGTGAAAGGAGCCAACATGCTGTGCTGGCTAGTTCTGAAATCACATGAATCAATTCGCACAAATCAACAAATTTCCTAACAATCTCATCATGTCATGTCGGAGACAATTTTTAGAGTCTCGGTTCGTCAAGCACAAGCTTAGGCATCGAAGCGGTTGGAAACTAGAAACAATACTTCCAAAGTCTTATACTCTCCTATTACTGATCACATCCTGAAGTGTACCACCCGAGGAACCTTTTGTATAAAAATAGACGGTGGAGGTTCAGATCCACGACCACACCGTCACTTCAAGTACGACTTCGAAGCAGTAATTTCGTGCAGCGGGTGTCGAGAATTTACACTCAACAACCCTAATGTGCAGTACCTGTGTTCCAAGAGTGCTTCCTCTGTGCCTTGAATTACATCTGCTGTAGATTTTTGTGCCTTCTTGTCATCGTCATCATGAACGCTCAAGTTTTGGATTCTTTCTGCGACGGACGCCATGCTCTCCTAGCTGAACCAAACGTACTTACATCAGAAATTCAGAGGGCTTCAGATCCAAACTTATCCACTGAAGAAAGGAACTTATTGCAATTAACAAGCTTCTAAAAAACACCCTCTCTCTCTCTCTCTCGCAAACATAACCCAAGCATCCAAGGTAAGCGAGACACACACATGTACACTCAAGCTCACACCTGGTAACCAGGTCAGGCAGTACACTTTCTCCTCTGAGGAAGTCACAAAGCAGAACTGCAAGCTGCACACTGCAATGATGGTAGAAACACGGACGTGAGGAGAGTGCGGAGGAGCACCAATTAAGTAGAATTTATTCTCAGACTCATCACATGGGGTCCCAGCCAACCCAACTGAAAGGATGGATGAACCACCCGCAAAAGACCAAAAGCTGTAACAGGAGAAAGAATCTTCACGATAACAAGGCAGAAGCAGCAAGACGACTAAAACCCCAACTCACAGAAAATCCAACAAGCGAATTGCGGCTCCAGGAATCCTGGCGCACAAACGATGGCTCTGATGATGGTGTTACAGGACAATAATTCACACTTAGCAGAGCGAAACCATCCCAAGCGCTCGACTCATTTGTCCAGATATACGGATCAAAAGCTCAGATTCCGGAGTAAGAGTCGAGGTCAGGGCGAGAGTGAGGAGAAGGAGGAGACTGCGCAACGGTGTTGATGAACAACAAAATTGTCAATTATCCCCCCCCCCCCCCCCCCTTGCAACTGAGTTTTTACGGCGCTTCGAGGTAGTGAAAAGGTGGCTCATTGAGCATGTACCCACAGCGATTTTATCTTTTTTCCCCCTTAAAACCAGTTCAACGATCAATAATCCCCAGACCCAACCAGTCTCTCGTCATCATCATCCCCCCCGCACGGCAAATTTACCCACCAACCCAGTGACGGCTTCTTAGCAACCGAGAGCCGGCTGGGTTATGTTCAGCTACTTACCGCGGTTGCTGCATGGCTTGTGTGTTGGGGGTGCCACGAGTACATTCCACGTCACGCATTTTCTCAAGCGTGTCGATGCTGACGCATCCTCGGAGTCGGATGAGGGGGCAGCAGTTAGAGACTCTCTCTATCCTTAAAGTGTGAAGCTTGCCTCGGTAACGGGACCTTAGATGTGTTGAACATGTGCCGGGTGGGTGGTCCCCCTACTTTGGGACCATTGCCCCATTCCTCAACAAGAATGTGGCCATGGCCATGCCTTTGACGAGAAGAATAATAATCAAATATAAATAAATACATATATATATATATATTATAAATTAGAGTCGAGATTAATCTGTAGGAATATAGTTTCTTGGATTTGGAAAATACGAAATAAATAATAATAATAATAATAATAATAAAAAAAACAGCGCACAACCTTCATCCTGTGCCTTTCAAAACATTTGTCACTATGAGTATCAAATGTATTTTTGTTTTTTTTTTTCAAAAAACCAGGATGGATTTGTAAAAGAAGTGAGCATGATGCCCTGTTATCATTTCTTTAACAGATGTGTTTTTTTTGGTACAACCATAAGATGTGTAAATGTATTGCTATTCTGTCGACTACTTTAAACTTTTTCTTATTTGCTGTGATGATGATATTTTTGGTCACATGTTGATTTCATTTTACTTAAAAAAAAGAAAAATAAAAAGCATGTATTACATTGTGACTACGTAATATCAATTGTGGTACAAGATAACGTTTTTATTTTATTTTTGTTGTTGTTTTTATTATCTGTCTTGTGTAGAAAATGGGTCACATCCATTCTCCCAAGCTATGGACGAGTATAAATGCAGGGGTATGCTTATGCAATGATTATACTCTTAATTTGCACAAAAGCACATGGTAAATAATGAGGGGAACGTTAAATAGACCCAGATTTTTACTAAATCAACCCACCTCTGATGAAGAATATGGTAATTTAGACGTCTCTTTCTTTCTTTCCCCCCCCCCCTTTTTTTTTTTTTTTTTTTTTCATTCGTGATGGTTAGGGGTGGGTAAATTTAGTAAAAGTATCTATTTATCATTCTCCAAAAATTAAGCACCAACAATTCACATGAGTAGAAAAATGCATTGAGATGGGAGTAGGAGGAGGATCAAGGTGAGGAACTTTCCTCAGTGAGCATATATTGTAGCAGCCTTTATCTTCAATTCACCTCATTATCTTTTCGAAACTTTTAAAAATATGACAAAAAAAGTTTAAGATCTGAGTTGGAAGATATGGTCAGTCCTCTGCAGTGGACCACGGTAATGATAAGGAGTACGGGAACCCATTCCCGTGGATGTAACATGGAGGTGCTTCCCACTAAGCTGTCGCGATCGGAAGGAAAAGTGGAGATAGCTTCCCGGTCCACAGTTCCGATCAATTTGTTCCCTATGTCCGACCCATTTTGTAGACCTCCGTGGCATACCACGTCATCATTGTATTCAACCTACTTGACAAATACGTGTCAGTGCTGGTTCTTCCTCTAGTGCTTCACCTCGACAGGCTGGGACTGCTCGTTTTCGCGGAGTTGCGCTTGGTTCCCACACAATTTTAGTGCAAGTTTGTCTGGATTCGGATCCGCGCAGATCCGAGTTTTTCTGACGTGAGTCCCTTCAATTGTGCTGCACTGAACCTGGCAGGGAAATTGGCACGGAAGTAGCTCTCTAGTGTTCGAAATTCGTGGTGGGTTGTGACTGGATTGTAGAATTTCGTAGTGGGTTGTCAACTCTTTCAGTGGTTGAATTTGGAATCTGGATGTTGAGAATTCTCCGCAGCGACGTGTTGGAATGCGTGTTGTTGGTTTTTTGGGTTGTGGGAATAGTTCAAAGCTTCTCCAGAATTTCACGTTTTATGTTTAGGTAGGATTTCGAGAATCGAGTCTAGGGTTCAGAGAAAGGGCAGAAGGCAAAGCAGTACCCGGAATGATCAGTCGTATTCCTACTACTTTCTCATTCACTTAATGTACAGCTGGAACGTCTAGTTGCATTTCGCATTTGTGTGGATAATCATTTTGACTTGCGTTTGTGAATTCGCAGCGATTGAGTGTCGTTAGAAGTATCAAGCAATCGTTGTTAACCTCACCATGGCTGCGGCTGGTGAGCCTCAGGTTAATAGCTCATACCATCGTTTCTTGTGCTTGTAATTTCGTACTTTATGGTTGCATGGCGAGGTTGTTGATGGGTAAGAGGGACGCATATTGTGCGAGTCAAGGATAAAGCTGAAATAGTTTGACTGTAGAGAGAATTAAGCTGACCAGAAATCACAGCTCGGGTTCACCGTTAGAAAATTCTTTTGGTTTGCAGAAAGGAACGGATGTGGGTGCAGTGACGTTATGGGGGTTCTATGCTAGTTCTTGCACATGGCGGGTGCGGTTGGCGCTTGGACTCAAAGGTTTGCCAACACTTTCACATAGCTTTGGATCGTTGATTTACTGTATGTTTTAGTACTCTTTACACGAAAATACAGAGGAACTCGTACCTGGATTCTTATTCTGAATCTGAATGAGCAGGCATTCCCTACAAGTACAAGGCACTCAACATTTCTAACGGGGAGCACAAAACTGAGGGTACGTATATTCTGTGTCAAAAGTCAGGCGTACACGACACCTTCGTAACTACAGCACTCCTGCTCTATGGCAGATTTTAGGTGTTGCTTATGAAGTGCTTCCATTTGTATTGTGGTGCTGGCAGAGTTCAGAAAGATAAGTCCTCTGCAGTATGTTCCTGCTGTGGAAGTTGATGGTGGTACAATTGCCGATTCCCTGGCTATCATCATGGTATTTTTACTATCAGTTTGTGCTCTTATTTAATTTTACACTTGCTTTGTTAATGCATACGCACTTGAAATTGGACGGAGAATAGTCGATACACCAATTTCTGTCGAGTCTCTGACTTTAATCCGAATTATACGCTGAAGTGGTTTACCTTCACAGCTGTAAAGAATGAGTGTGGTAATGTGTTCGCTCAGACGGTATGTGTGTGTGAGAGCCAGAGAGAGGGAGAGAGAGGGAGAGAGAGAGAGATAGAGGGGTCGGGCTAAGGAGAGCTAACCAACTCTATGAGTTCTCTAATACTCTTGCAGTACTTCGAAGAGAAGTATCCTGATAAAAAGCCCTTATTACCTGCGGACTTATTAAAGAGAGCAACTGTGCGTCAGGTAAAGATTTTATGTTATAAACATAAAGTGTTGTGTTTATTTCTGAAGTGTCTTGTGATTTAATCCTCGTCACGAATTTGGATCTTTAGTATAGCTGTAATATTGTAATTATCAATGGTAGGTGTTGTAGTAGTGAGGTTTGGATATATTTGAGGAATATGTGTAACTTTTTATTTTATCGATTTTTTCGGTCACCAGAGTGCTTGACATCCAACTGTGGCAGGTGGTGTATCTGATCGCATCAAACATCCAACCACTGCAGAACCTGGGAACCTTGGTACTCACATTTTGAAACCCTTCGCAGAAACGCGTGTTTGCAAGGAGCTGATTATTTGCATTTGTATCAATGAGGTACAATGTACACTGTAAACTTTCGCCTGACATTTACAGACGTGGAGCAGAAAATGATTGAGGCACAATTTGGGGCGGATGCGCGACCGAAGTGGGCTCAGGATCATATCATCATTGGATTCACTGGTTAATGGCTTTACATATTCTTTGCACCTGAAGTTGGTAGAGCGAATCAAACTTAGGAAACTCGGACTTGTATCTATTCATTATTCCAGCAGTTCAATTCATTGACTCGAACACTAAAATTTTAAGTGGTGTTTGGGTTCAGCGCTTGAGCAGCTTTTGCAGAACGTAGCTGGCAAGTATACAGTTGGCGATGAGCTGACTCTAGTAAGTGTAATTGGTCTCCTTATATGTTGCTTGTAAGTATCCTATTCTTCTCTTTTATGCCAATACATAGTTGAAACGCTGATACGTGGCAATGGACTCTGCAGGCCGATGTTGTTTTGGTACCGCAGATCGGCAACGCTAAACGGTTTCAGGTAGACTTGGTAAGTACGAATTTCCTCTTTCAGCATTGTAACTACTTATAAGGTCACTAGGCATTAGTGATCTTATTTCAAAGAGGATTTTGTTGCAGCGTGCTATTAAGAGCAGACTAGTCAAGTTGGACACTCTGATCGTTCTTCTACAGAAGAAGCTACCGAAACTTTTGCGTCGTGGTTAGGAGAATGTCATAATTACTCAAACACGGATTTGTAAGGTTTAATCAAGGAAGATGAGCTTGTTTTGTGTGGACTTTTTCAGACTCAATTCCCTATAATTGATCGCATCGGCAAGGCTTTATTGGAGCTGCCAGAAGTCCAGGCCTCTTTACCAGCCAATCAACCGGACGCTCCTAAGTGAAGTTAACTTCAATTTCTGTCGCATAGTCACCACGTGTGCTTGAAGAATTATGGTGTATAAGTAGAGTTGAGTGGAGTTTAGCATATTAGAAGACAACTTCTAATATGCTTATGTCTTATTAAGAAAAAGATGTAATCTACTCATAATCAAAAAAAGACAAAGCTTTGATATTATAAGTGTATTCTTCTTAGAAGAATTTGAGGAATGTAAATAAAAAGAAAAAGATGTATATTAAAGTGATATGACAGAAAAAAATTGAAAAAGATGTATATTTGAAAGAAACTAGAATGATTATTATAAAAGCTAAAAAGACTAGATATTTTTTAAATTACAAGAAGAAAAGAGAAGACACTTATAAGAGTGATATTGATAAGAAAATTTTATTCTTATTTCCATATGTATTATTTAATCAAAGATCTATGTGGTAACATCTTATAAGTTATTTAATATGTGTCTTACTTGCAAGACAAGTTTTTAATATATACATCATATAGTCAACTTATACTACAAATAGATAACATGTACATGTACAATATATGGTTAATTTGTTGGTCAAGTTTTCAACTTATCAATCACCTACAAACACTTGTAAAATCAATTTTGTGTTTATGAAGTTTCTAAGAAGCTATTTTATGAGATATTATCATATTTACTTATTTTTATTTACTTCTATCTACTTCTCCTATCTTAATAATTATCAATGTCTATATGTATGATAATATATGTGCATATCAAAGAAATTATTTATAATTATGTAGAAATTTTTATTCAAATCTCAAATACAAAAAATTATTTGAAATAGATTTAAATAAGAACAATAATAAATTATATAATTTTAAATTTTTATAAAATACATATTTTTTATGGAAAAAATTTATGCTAAAAAAAATTGTCTTACAAATAAAATTGGTTTTCAATTGTTTTATTTAGAAATTATAACTTTACTAGATCTAAATAGATATGTAGAATAAAAAAGATAAAAAAAATATATATTTTATTAATTTTTTAAAATTAGATGAATATGAAAATAGATGAATTAATTAAAAATTATATTTAATGATATTTTTAAATATGTGGCCAAATTTACTACAAATATATATATGCTTGTAATTAAAGGTATATAATATTATTAAATTTATTATATAAATGTTAAAATTATTTCTAAAATTGTGACTTTAAAGAAGATGTTTAAATACATATATATACATATATATATTTTTAAAATATATAATATTTAATAAAAATAAACTATTCTTTCTTTGATTTTTAAATCAAAGAATATAATAATAAGCTACTATATACATGAGGTAATATGAATTTAGTTAGATGGTAGTAGATATAAGATTTTTTTAAATCATTTAAAGTAATATATATATATATATATATATATATATATAGATCATTATTTTAAAGGTATGGATATTTAAATATTCCTCCTTGTTTATTTTAGTATCCTTGGAGTTATTCATTAATTAATTGAAAATAGATGAATAAATGACAAAAGAACTAGTGGTACCTCAAAGTATTTTTACTTTTTAAAAAAACAATAAGTAATTCCATAGAATACGAAATTGACAAGGAGGGGTACCAAAATATCTATGCTCTATTTTAATACCAAAAAGTTTGAATGTAAATAATATGTTTGAGCTATTGTCTAATAAAGCATATAATAATAACACTTATATAAGATAAACATAAATAATTTACAAAAATGTTTATATGCAAGATTTTGGAAACTTTAAAAAAAAAGGGTGTTGTAGATTATTGCGTTTTTTTTTTAAAGGGATATTAAAACACTAAGTTCAAAAGAAAATACCCTTAGCTGTTTGCATCTCTTGAACACATAATATAAGATGAAATGCATAAGAAAAAGATTTGTACAAGTTCTAATCCATCTCACTTAATGCTTATGCATTTTAACAGTATTTTGATCTAAGTAAATAATTATCACAAAACCACATATAATATTAATAATAATTTTGAAATATAATATAAATTAAGAATAACAACAATAACAACATGACTTTGCACAACGCTGGGCGATGTAGAGCTGAGCAGCCCAGCGCAAAGCGTTGCCCAATTGAGGCAGAGTAATAGAAAGGGCCACCCAAAAGAAAATACGAGGAGAAAGATAGACGAAGCAACTGGAAAGAAGTGAGGGGTCAAAAAAGAAATAGATTCTGGTAAGTAACGACATCCCATGAAAGATAAAGAAAAGAACGAAGATAAAAAAAAAAAGAAAAAGAAACGGCGGCAGCGAAGTGGAGGGTGGTGGGTGAGAGACGCGATGCCGAAGAGGCATATCGACAATGAATGCCAAACACTTTGCAAAATTATTAAATTCTCTCTCTCTCTCTCTCTCTCTCTCATATTATGTGGAGCGGGGATTAACAAGAGCTTGATCGACACGACACAGTCATCTTTGGAATTTATGCACGACGAATGCCTGTGGGCAACTGCGACGTTGTAGGGCCGAATGGGCTGTTGCAACATTCGAAGCTGCGCTTTGCAGTGATGTTTGTGCACAAATCGGAGGCCAGGATACCTGGTTTGTGAAGAGAAGAGGGATGGAAGTAAAGAACTACCTGAAGAAATGTATACTGTGCGGAGGAAGGAACCACCACTCATCCTATTCTTGTAGCTTGGACCAGTGGATGTCGATGTCGATGTCTTCCCGGAAGCAGAAGCAGACGAGGCGAATCGTGCCGACGTCTCATTACTTAGCGTCTCTAGCGAACGCAGCCATAGGGAAGGTCTTGCCGATGCCCGTGGAGGTCTTGAAGTAAATCGTGTGGGTCTTTCTACTGCACCGTGATGTCCACCACGGTCATCCGCAGTAGCTCCTTCGCCTTGACGCCCGTCAGCTTCTTCAGCCGCCCCTTCTCCAGATACGCCGTAATCTTTTCACCGTAGTTCACTTGCTTGGAGATTTGCTTGAACACGTGCGCGATGGTCTTCTTCTGCGTGATCCAGACGTAGCCTGTTTCTTTGAAGCCGCACTCGATCACATCCTGCACCGGCAACAGACCATCCGGCAGCCCGAACTGCACAAGATGCTCGATGGCTTTCTCTATGGAATTTGGCCCAGTCGCCACCACAATTGTGCTCTCGTCCTCCAGTACCATTCCTAGTTCAGGTTCCACCACTATCACTTCCGTCGCCATCTTCGCAATACCACAAACTCGTGGAAAATATAAACGGCAAGCCTCACTTCGATCAGGACAGGAACTCAGCTAGAACATGTGATCACCAAATTCGCAAATGGATTGGAAACTCAGCAGCAGTGGGGTTGCGAAAGGAGAGGGTGACTCTACCAGATCATACAGGAACGACGACTGAATTGCACTATTCTAATAACCAGGTCGATCATGGTGGAGTTGATGGGTTGCTGAATTTCAGCTTTTCATTATAGTTCTGAACATGTACCAGGTCCGTGAACGATGCGACCACAATTAACCGCGGCGTTATGTTCCCTTTGTGCACGTACTCTCCGTGCAAGGCTTTGAATTTGTTATCGATTTGTTTCTTTCTGTAGCATGTGGAATTCGAACTTCACCCTGTTCAGATGATTGGTTAATTGACGGACAAACTCGCTCTTCCCTCTACGCACTAGCATTATACGCCACTCATGCTCGGAAGCACCAGCGACAGGCATCACAAGAAGATCAGCGAAGGGTGGAAATGCTAGTTACTGGATGATTCGCCACCCACCGCACAGGGCACCCACGATAAACTCTCCTTGAGCATGGAGAGAACCTGGAGAATGTGCAGATCTTCAACATCAGGAAGGTGGAGAACCACCCCACAATCACCGCCCATCAACTGGACGCCTTGCTGTTGCAGGTACCAGGGGGCAAATATTTAAGTCCAGCTCCACTCACGCTTACTGATCCATAATATTTCAACGCGAATGTGTACCTGGTACACGCTTGACTCGTCGAAAAAAAAAAATACCTGGTAATGACTGACTCTCTTCGAGCTTTCCCATCTCTGATTCGAGGTTCATCACCCTTCAAGCATAGCGAGGATTGCCACACCTTTCAAGTTTGTAGAAGCCACTTGGGAAGCCACATCAGCTGCGCTTGAGAGCAGTCTGTGTTCTCTCCGCAAATGTTTTCTTTCAAACATTACTCTTACGGATCCTCAGTGAGTATGGTAGCTCTTTCTGAATACAATGCTGTATGTTATTTGTGTATTTTGTTCTAACACATAGTATCATATTTAGTTGGAATAAACAACATTGAATGGATTGTTTCTCAAGAAATTAGGTGGAATCTTAGACAATTAGGTTAGTTTTTTTGTTTTCAAAGGATCCATATGTTCATTGTGGTTTTAGATTTTTTTAACAAGGTCAAACAAATTTGGTAGATTGATTTTGAAGATAGTTTGAAGTCAAGCAATTGTCATAGCCTTTTAAAATAGGAAGTTGATTTGAACTTTTGAAGAGCAATTTATATTAATTTTACGCATGTTAAGTTGTCAAAATTTGATGTTTGATTGTATGTTTAAAATGTTGAAACAAAAATTGCAACATGCATTGAATAATAAAAAGATTTTTATTTATCAATCATATATTCTTGTATGTTTGCTTAACAACAATCAAGAGATTGTTGATTCCTATCTTAAACATGTTTTGTTCTACAAATATCCCACCATTAAAATGTAAAAAAATAAAAACTATGTTTTATTAAAATTAATGGTTATAATGTTTATTGTCCCATGGTTTTGCAAAGATTTTTCTTAGTGTTTTAGTAGATTAATATATAAAAGGATATTATTATTCCATAAAAGTAACTTAAAATAGTAAAAGAAGTCATGTAGGAATCTACAAAAAAGTCAAATGGGATCCTATTTTTGTAATTTAAGATTTGGTATTTTGAATGTATCTATTGGTGGATCTTAAAGAATGACAAAGTCTTATTTGGATAGAGTTATAAAACATTAATAATGTACAAGGTGTTACAAAAGATTGTTTAAATAATAATAATAAGTAATATGTTTATGTGTGTGTATGTATATATATATATATATATATATATATATATATATAATAGATAAAAAATTACAAATTTATTGTAATTATATTCTTAATAGATGTTTTTTGTATAAAAAAAATTTACAAAAAAAATCTTATCATTCCAAGTAAATATTTAAAGATAATATTGTTTTTTAG